CACATAAACAATCTGACGTTCACGCACGTGCTGTCATGAAAGACCTGAAATGTGAATCGCTATATTTGATTGATCCTAAATTCTTCTAAATGATTCTTCCGTTAAGGTCTAGATTCTATGCTTATGTACCACATCGGTATCCGCATACTTGGCCAATGCCAATAGCCTACTCTTTCGGGCTCGAACCAGCCGGCGCCTCCTGTTCTCGACGCTGCTGAAAAGTGTCTATTACCCCAATGAACGTCTCTCTGGTCAGACTCGCCGACATCATACCATCCTTGGAGTGTTAACATGCTCTTTTGAGCGGCGCGGCGCTTATAAGATAAGGAAATCTTTCACTTGGCTAGGGCAGCAACCGTGTATTAATCTTTGGGTCCGTAGGTAATGACTGTTTCCCGCGTGACTTGAATGCCATTGACGCTCTGGCTGCGCTTAGTAGAGAAGCTGGCCAGAGCAGGTTTAGGCTTGGCGGCTACTGGAGGTACTTGGTCGGCTGAGCTGTCAACGCTCTCGGTGTCCATTGGTCCATCTGATTCCAGAGCAGGACTGTGCTCTGGTATCATAGGACAAAGACGTGCCTCATCTTCTTGAGGGTTCTCGCCACCAAAGTCTCGTCTGTGAGGCATCTCGTATGAATCATTGTCGAGTGTATGACTTTTTCTCTTCTCTTGACTATGCGAGTTGGACTTTTTCGAGTTCTTCTCCTGCGAGCGAAGACGAGGGTGAATGAGGAAGGGGATATATCGGACGCAGAATGGCTTAAGCGCTGGGACAGAAACACAAACGAGACTGGTGTTGACCTCGATGAAACTCAAGATAAGCTGTCGTGGAAGAGCCCACGTATAGTCGGGAGCGTCCAAGATGGGAAGAGTGATAGTGGCTCTCCGGATTGTGACGACGATGATGACACCCCCAGTTGCGAAGAGAACAGCGAGTGAGATCTTCTGACGAGTTGGAATCTGCAGAGGTTGAACGATGCGGATCGGGAGAAGAAGAACGAATGTATCGATGACAACGCTGCAGATGACCAAGAAGATAACAAGAACCTCCATTTCAATACACTTTCCTTCGATGGTGAGGTCCCATCCTGCAGATACAGGCTGACATCGAAACACGACGAGGCAGATGTAGACGAAAGTGTATGAGCAGACAAGAGCCATCAATACATGGACGGCTCGACGAACGAATCTATCAGGAGAGATTCGAAGATAGAAACTAAGGACAGAGAGTTTAGCGAGACTGATGCTGGCAGCGTATGTGAGCGTGGCTCCGATGCTCGTCTGCCAGAACTTGGGAACGTATTCGGCCACTGGAATATCCCACATGTGGTTTCCAGCACCAAGGTTGAGGACTACCACTGTCAGATACGACAATAAAGTGGACGAGTATAATACATACGTGTTAATGTGATGCCGAGAAAGATAAAAGAGAAACAGAGGCCAGCTATGCACAAGTCTAACAACTCAGTTAGTACTGCTTCCAAGAGGAAATGTTGAGCAAGACATACAGTCATCAGCACCCAACACACTCTTAACCACATATCTCCTCGTAAAGACCCTCAAGATAACAATGATCGAAGCAATGATCGTCGTCGTAACACCGCAAGGAATAACTCCGCTCCCACTGCTCGGCGGATTACCAAGAGTCCTCGTCTGTCCCTCCGGCGGCTCCATGAGAAAACCCGAAGGGTCATGAGCAAGAGGCGCCATTGTATCTCGACTAAAGATATTAGAAGAATAATAAAGAAAGAGGCTTTTGTTGAAACTGAGCAGTCACTAGATGAGGAGATGACCGTGCAGAATACAGTCCTTCTTCCATGATGATGGGACATGCAGAGGAACTTATATCTTGGGACAAGGAGCTAGGATGTAGAAAATACAGGACGACAAGGCTTACTCCACCACTACAACAGAAAATCTGATATCCCCAAGCAATCTCTGCTCTTTCTCGCAAATATTGTATTCTTCTAGCAAACAAGCCGGGGGGGTCCCAAGTGAGAATCGTTCGACTCAAAGTGACGACTCAACTCTACTAACAAAGTCGCATAATGAGAAAAAGAAAAATTAGAGGCAAACTTTTTAGAAACGTCTCTTTTTTTTAGTTTTGCTTTTGCTTATTCTCGCTCTTCATGCGGTTCTCATTCTAGCGCGTCTGATAATACCCCTGGCTCTCAGGAACCCGGCGTCCCCCTCCAGACCCGCTCGTGGGGAAGAGAGAGGCATTCTCGTAGAGGACCCTTGTCTCTTTCTCGCCGTAAAGTATTACATGTGGCTTTTTCTGGTGGTGAAAGAAAAGCCATGAAGAAGTTTATTCAATATTAGTGGTCTCATTGTCCGAGAGCCGTTTGTTGAGGCGTTTGTCGTCTCACCGGTGGAAGAAAGCCGCATATGTACCTCACGCTGCGGTTCTCTGAACATTGAGGCCTGCAATCACTGTTGCACAGCATAATCGTCGACGTTTATTCTTGGTGTATCTCACGTGAGTACCGGTGTGCTTACCAGGGGCCTAAGTGTGGCAAGGATTATTTCGTGATGCATTATACCCACCAGATCTATATACCGTTGGAAGTAGTCGTTGTGGAGGATGTGGGCTATCCAGCCGAGAAGCTTACTCAGAGGATACTAATACGTATCTACCGACAATGCAGTTTCTTTTTCCCTTAAAGGCGAGTTTCGCTGATCTTATCACTGATTGATTTGTTATCCATGGTTTCGCTCTTGTTTCCTCTTTAGTGCTTTACCAATGATCTTGTCGTGATGAACCCACGGAGTCGCGGATAATGAGAGATCACCCGAGCACAGGTAGTTACAACGACACAGATTGCTAACCCCTCTAAAGGTACAATGAGACATCGCGACAATCTTTAACATCTGTGCCTCGACGGTAACTAACAACCAACATCAAATTCCGGAACCGATCGGGACGCTTTTAAAAAGACAAGACGAAAAGCCTCCGGGTGGCTTGTTCTTCTAGACTCGATCTCTAGTCCCGCGCAAGAGCCTTCTTGACGAGAAATTCTCATCGTCAGTTGACATTTATTTCGTCAGACCACAGAGAGGATCCGCAATTTGGGAAAAAGTGACAGTTGGCGATATTGCTTTTTCGCAAATACTTTACGGGACCCTTGTTCTGGGGGCTAAGCATTGACACACTTGTCGTTGAACGGGTCTTGGTTTTGAAATACCGTGCTTGTTTCTTGATCAAAGTCGGTATCTAGAGAGTGCATGGGAGACATTGAGGTATTGTGTATCCGTATGCAGGTCTGGAGTTGTGTCCGAGTTATCTCCACTTACACGGGGAAGATTCAGGAACGAGATGCAGCTGACACACGAGTCTTGCTCGTAGCCATCTGTAGATTATTATACTGAGGTACTTGCGTTTTCGTCAATATTACAGCTCAAATCTTCAACATGGTGCTGCTTCTCTCGAGACAGACTCGAGACCCATCGTTCTTCATGGTCCTTGGCAAAGTGAGTTATCACAACCCACAACCGGTCCGGTATCAATAATCATTGTTAGAACCACAATGACCCCGAAGATAATTTATGACAGTCTACTCCGTAAGTCTTTGTGCGCGGTCCCGCCCGGATATGTCACAGTCTTCTCTCATCTCCAAACGGGTACGCAAACCGGCAAAAGGCTGAAGGAGGAATCAGGCCATGGCTTGTGAGGAAAAAGCAAATACAGCTTATAGTCTACACCTCGGTTAGGCTTATTGTAATGCAGGTACCGACTGTGGCTGACCTGCTTACTCGTGTAAATGTCTTAAAATAAAAAATCTGACTCTGGAAGAAGGATACAAGTATTACTCTGTTCCAGCTTCTTTTCATTCAAGATTTTGAGGCTCTGATTCACTGAAGAGGTCCACCTCAACTTGATGCTCTGGGCGGGACGAGCGTTGATGAAACAGCGGCCCGTCTTCCCCTGCAGCCGTTGAGAAAGGTGGGAACGACCTTGTAAATCCCACTCTCTCACTCTTCTCTCATCAACAATAGCAGGTCTACGCTACGACGGACCTTTTGTCACCGAGGCCTTAACCCGATCTCATATAACCCAACCCTCTCTAATCAGCACGAAACCAGATCCTGCAGCAATGCAAGATCACAACTCAACTGCCGAATTCCCTGTTTTACAAAATGCTGACTACCTTTCTCCCCCGTAAGATAACACTACCAGCCACATAAACCCCCCTGTCTCGCAAGAATATCTTACCCAGGAAACCCTTGCCAAAGTTCCCGTGAATATCACATATCACCTACATCTCCTTCTCTGACCGAGTTCCATGCTGATACTGCGTGCGGTCTTTTGAGATCGGAGGCCCGCGAGGTCGATGCGGTTTCGACGTCTTGATTGGAGTTGGAACGAGGTGTGTCTTGAGCGTGAGTTGCGATTGGGGCCTTTGCGAGCGGCTGTTGATATATCATGTTTCAAGCTCGCCACTGAGAGGGTGTTCGCAGTTCTTGAAGACAGTTTTTCCGCGATATATACTACACGAGCGGGAGGCTAGTAGTTTAGCCTCTGTGATGGCACGAACGCTCTGTAGCCTTCATGATCTAACCTTTGTAACCGATCGACACGGGAGCTATGGTCCTAGTTGGCAATAGTTTATCATCATCTAGATCCTGCAGGCCTCACAGGAACTTCTGACAGCTCTGAAACCGAAACTTCTGAAATACAATTTCTTCATCTTAACGCCCTTACCGCAAAAGGTTTACATTACATACACCACTGCTAGTATACAGTTCTCGTCATATATCCCGTACCCAACTAAGCACTTTCCACTAGAGTACAAGAAAAAAGAGAAGAATGGTCATAATGAGTACGCCTCTATTCTTTCTTGAAGCCCTTGGTCTACCAGAATACTCTCCCAAGTACCCGCATATAGTCGTAATGCATCATTCACCCGTCGTTTACCACCAATCTCTATGTAGTTGGCGCCGGTCGTATAACGTGTCCCGATTAACGACTCCTCAGTTCCCAAAAGCAATGCTCGTCATCGTCTAAACCTCTTCCGTTCCAACCGCCTCGTAACCACCACGTTCCCTACGACCCGTCAACTGCATCAGACCAGGACTCTCGTACATGGCTGTGTAGTCAACTCTCTCGCCCCCAAGCACAGCAGCTCCGTTCTCTCTTTGGCCGAAGATAGGCGCAGGATCGCACCAAAAGTCCTTGCAGTTGGCAATGCAGCCTCGGCTGTAGGGGTTCTTCTTCTTGCGCTTGTTCTTGGTGGAAACGGCACCTCTGCCGGTAATGGTCTCGATAAAGGGGTCGACGCCGAGGGTGCGACTCAAAGACTTGAGCATGCCGCCCTTGTGCTTGTGGTGGTGGCCACCAGGGGTTGCTGTTGCGGATAGAGATGGGTGATTGGGGTCGAGAGGGGCGCCAGTAGATGTGAGAGCGGTAATCGCAGTTCCGTCCCTAACACCAAACATGTTCTCATACGTAGTCATAGCTCGAGCTACCTGAATGAACTGGGTAAACAAAAGCATGGTGACCCAGAGGAGTTGAAGCGTGATCCAGACGGCCAAGATTGCAGTGTACGAGTCAGCATTGATGAACTTGCAGAGGTTCGGGCTAAGAACGTTGCAGGTATCCGAAGCGTTGCTGCTGATGGTTTCGAAGTCTACGACATTGTCAGCATGGGCATAACGTCAGAGTAGGGGGTCTTGAACTTACAGTAATACAGTAAAAAGTCGTATGAGATGATACCGAAGGTCAGCGAGATGAGGTAGAAGAAGAAGTGTCGGTGGTTGTTAATGCCGACACAGTTGTAAACCCAAGGACAATGGTGATCATGCTTGGCAACACATCGTTGGCATCGGCGGCAGTGCTTGCTTCGAAGAGGCGTCTGAATCATGCAGGTAACACAAAAGTTGGTCTCGTCGTATTTCCACTGTGACAATAGTCCGTCGATGACAGCTTTCTGCTCCGCAATTCCGTTCATCTTTGGCACAAAACCCGGGTCGTATCTCATGCTGGCAACGTAAAAGTACGCGGTCAAGCCCAAGGAGATGCCGAAGAAGAGGTTGAGAAAGGTATGGCCGTGACCCTCACTGGCGCCAAGTGTTGTGGCAAAAAGGACGGTAGTCAACCAATTCACAGCTGTTAAGAAGAGCGTGGCCGCAAAGATACCGGTGAGCCAGGGAGTCTTGTGAAAGTGCCGCATATCGGGAGGCGCATATTCCAGTACTTGCTGAGCAACCCACTGAACACCGTAAACCACAGCGAATCCAACAGGAACGCCAATGTAGATAGGCGCACTCGAAACGGCCATAAGCATGGCCCAAACAAGAACGAATGGCCAGATGAACAAGAACCTCGTGACGAAGGCTCTCTTGTCCTTCAAGAAATAGCTAGCACCAGGCCAGGGCGGAACTGCAGGATGGCCGTCCTCGTTGAAACCGCATTCTCGAAGCGCTCTGTGCCAGGCGCCCTCCGTATTAAGCTCGCTGGCCGTCACAGCAGGAGTCTTACCCGTCTGTGTCTTTGCGAATCGATCGGCGCCGTACTCGATGAGTTTGAGGATACATCCCGGGCTTCCCTTGACGAGCGCCCAATGCAGCGCGGTGAAGCCTTGCTCGTCTGTCGCATGAACGCTTGCGCCCCAGCGAAGAAACAGATCAACGCACTGAGGGAAGCCCTTGTACGCAGCCCACATGAGCGCAGTGTGGCCGAACGTGTCGGTAACGTCGACGGGGATTCCCTGGTGAAGCAGGAGGACAATCAGAAGGACGTTGCCGTTGAACGTCGAGATGTGAAGCGTGTTGTAACCTTGAGCGTCGGTGATGAGAGGGTCGGCGCCGTGCTGGAGGAGCAGATTAACGGTGTAGTAATGGCATCGCTGGGCAGCCCATTGGAGCGCTGTTGCTACCGACTCTCCGCCCTTTCTGTTAATTTCGGCGCCGTGTTCGATCAAGAATTTGCACATCGCATATTGATTGTTAATCGCAGCCCACTATACGCAATGTCAGCCAAAGTCCTCCATCATCCCAACGATCGCCGCATGGCTTGTAACTCACATGTAAGGGCGTGATACCCTCATCGTCATGGTAGGTCGCATCGTACTCGCCCGACTCGAAAAGCTTCTCCATGGCCGGTACGTCTCCTATCCTAGCGATCTGCATGATATCCTCCTCCTGGGCCTGCGTATCTCCTGGTAGACTACCCATCTCGACTTCATTATTCAGCTTTGGCGTAGCGGCATTCGATTTGCCCGTCATCTGGATGGGCGCGGTCTGGCCGGAGGTGGAACTGGTGCTGATGCTCCCCATGGCAGGCTGGCTTGTAGCGCGGGGAGGAACAGTTCGGGTGGACGCGATCCTAGGTAAAGACGAAAGATGATTGAGAAAGTCGACTATTCGTACATAAACATTATCTATCAGGCTTGTACACGCGCAATAAGAAAAGAGAAGCTGTGAAGGATGGAGGAAGGGGAAAAAGTGAATGGGCTTGGCTGAGTCTTGGCTGAATTTTGGAAGGCAGTGAGCGCGTGGAGAAGGTCTACGTATTACTGAAGCCGTGATGCCGAGAGGCTGAGCTCAGACCCTCCCCTATATGGGGAAAGCCGCCCGCAAGAAAAGCTCAGGGCTGAGAGATGAAGCTGGTTCTTTTTATCCTTATTTTAAAGTATTGTTGACATTCAACTACCTCGGTAGTGAGCCCAAGAGTACAGCTTATCATCTAGACTAAATACAATTCCAAAGTGCAAACACTACATCATAAGATCTTCTAACTTACTTGATTAATTGACCTCACTTCTCTTCTCTTCTCTCGCGGGGACAACCCAAGTTTGGGACTCTCCTAGGCTCTGCACTAGGGAACCGGCACTGCCATTGCCTTTAATTAACAGGGTCTTTTTGTGGCTGATTACGTCCCATTTCCCCCTTATCCCCTTTCTGTCCCAGTGGGATTTCGATATCTTCGCTCATTGGTCACAACGTATTTCCTGTCGTTCGTGGCTGTGGCTGAGGCTGATGACCGATGTGGGGACGCCGGTCGAGGAGCTTCCAGTGGGCTGGCCAGATATCGCCTCGCACAGCTTTGTCAAACTAACAGCCAACTGTCCGAATAGCGTCATTCAGCGATCGCATTCGACGTCAACAAGGCTGGTCGACTCACAGAGAAGCCTGGGCTGTCCTCCCTTTGCTCTAAAAGTCGACAGCTACCGCGACAACTCAGGCGCCAATTGGTGCCACACATCGCCCACCATGGCCAACTTCATCGCAACCGTCGAGGCCATCATGACACCCTCGCTGGCCACAATCATTATTGGTGCACTTATCATCATCGGTGCTCCTATAATTCTTCACCTCATCCTATCCTCATCAAGGACATACACCGTCGCCCCCAGCGTCCTCCTTCTCGGTCCCGCCAACGCTGGCAAGACGTCACTTCTCACACTCTTTGAGCGCGGCGCTTCTGGTACCGAGACGCACACTTCCCAGGTGTCGCACGATGTCGAGCTCAACGCCTCTACCGACTCGGATAACAAGCATTCGTACCGCAACCACGACACCCACGATGGTACATACACCAAGTTCTTGCTCGTCGATACTCCTGGGCATGGAAAGCTGCGAAACGTGCCTATGGGCAAGCTGGACCGCACTGAAAAACTAAAGGCCGTTGTCTTTTTGGTGGATGCCGCTGCTATCGGAGAGCCCGAGGTCCTTGCGCCCACCGCTGCGTATCTCTACGACGTGCTGCTCTTCCTGCAGAAGCGCGCTACCACCGCCAAGGTCAAGGCTGCGATCCCTATTCTTATCGCTGCCAACAAGATGGACCTCTTCACCGCTTTGCCATCGACACTTGTCAAGACCAACCTTGAAGCCGAGCTGACGAGAATTCGTGCTTCGCGAAGCAAGGGACTGCTGGACTCGGGCGTCGGATCTGACGACATTGGCTCAGAGGAGCAGGATTCTTGGCTGGGCGAGTACGGATCCTCCAAGTTCACCTTCAGTCAGCTCCAGGAATTCGATATCGACGTTGATGTTCTCCCTGGAAACGTCACTGGCGATGGTCCTGGGGCAGACAAGTGGTGGTGGTGGATCGCTCAGCGGGTATAACAGCGGCGATCAATACATCACAAAGGGAGAGGAATGGGACACAATTATATTAATGACATTTTTTAATTCATGCAGCTGATTCCGTCGCAAATGCCATGTAGATGTTGAGTCTACCGCCCAAAATTCAGTCTATCAAAATAAATCCCATCTTTTTCTCTAAGGTATCCTGGAACGCCAGACGTGAATGTCGTTGAAAACATGAGTACTCGTTCCCCCCTCCTCTCGCGAGGTTCTCCCATCTACAGCTTCTTGTTGATCATCCATGTAAGGAGATCAACCTTTGTAACAATAGCAATAGGCTTGGACAGAGACTTGGAGTCGTCAGTCTTCTCAGTGACGACCGCTGCACTGTTCCACTCAAAGAACTTGCTAAGTGTGGTAAGGGGCGTGTCCTTGGTGATCTCAACGAATTGCCTACGCTTGCCGGGGTTGATGGGGGAAGCAAATTCGCGAGGATCAGTAACGATCTCGTCGAGGCGCGCAAAGTCAAACATGACGTCTGATACAGGGCTCTGGGCGGTGGCGCGGCCGCGGGAGATGTAGCTTAGCAGGTTGCCCAGTGTGACGAGACCGACAAGCTTGTGGCCGTTGGCGGAGAGGACGGGGAGTTGATCGAAGCCCTTGTCGCGCATGGTCTCGATGGCCTCGGAGCAGGAGGAGTTGGCACCGACGGATGTGACGGGCTTAAGGCGGAGAGCGGCAATGGTGGCACCCTCATAAGGATCGGAGGTCTTCTTCTGGCTGTTGCCGTTGATGGTGGATTCAACACCGTTGACGGGGAGGAGGTCGTTGGCGGCGAGCCAGTCGTCATCAGCGAACTTGGAGAGGTAGCTTCGGATGCTGTCGGGCAGGACAACAACTACAACATCGCCCTTCTTGAAGTTGTACTCCTTGACAGCGAGGAGCATGGCGGCCATGGCAGAACCAGAGCTGCCACCAACGAGGATACCCTCCTCGGCGATAAGTCTTCGTGCAAGGTGGAAAGACTGTCGGTCATCGGTCTTGTACCACTTATCAACGATCTGCTGATCAAGCACATCGGGAATGAAATCATATCCGATACCCTCCACCTTATAAGACTCGTTGGCATGCTCCTCGTTCAGAAGCTCAGGCAGAGCAAGGATACTGCCGTGAGGATCCGCAGCAATGACCTTGATGTCCTTGTTATGCTTCTTCAGACCGCGAGCGAGACCCGTGATGGTGCCACCGGTACCAGCACCAGCGACAATAGCGTTGATCTTGCCGGCAGTCTGCTCCCAGATCTCCTGAGCGGTGCCGTGCTCGTGGGCGAGAGGGTTGTTCTCGTTGCTGTACTGGTCAAGAATATGGGCGTTGGGAAGCTCCTTCTCGAGACGGCGGGCAACACCGATGTGAGACTCGGGAGCATCCCAAGCAGCTTGTGTAGGAGTACGGATGATGGTGGCGCCGAGGGCACGGAGGACGGAGACCTTTTCGGCAGACATCTTCTCGGGGAGTGTGATGATAGTCTTGTAGCCCTTGATAGCTCCGACGAGAGCAAGACCGATACCACTGTGAACAGTCAGTCAGCTGAGATCCGAGAGCTTCGAAATGTGGTGATCTTACGTGTTTCCACTGGTAGGCTCGATAAGAGTGTCACCAGGCTTAATTCTTCCGCTCTTCTCAGCCTCTTCGATCATGCGCAGAGCAATTCTATCCTTGACACTGCCGCCAGCGCTGAACAGCTCTGGCTTGACGTAGACATCGCACTCGATGCCCAGCGACTGGGGGATCTTGTTAAGTCTGACGAGAGGAGTATTTCCGATGAGCTCTGTTGCCGAGTGGACGGTAGCAGCGCGAGGCGGAACGTGAGGAATCTGAGAAGCCATTTTGAATGAATTATTGTATTTGAAGAAATAAGAGGGAGAAAAAAGAGTTTCTCATACGAGAACCGACGACTTAAGTTAAGCACGCCACGGGACGCAAACATTGTTAGCTAATGGGCAAAAGGTGGCGGGGCCGGGCATGACAGAAACTTTGGATGTGCCCCGCCAATGCCGAGTGTATCCTCTTAAAACCGTTCTAGAACGTGAGCTAGAAGGTCGAGAGGGTGGAATGCGGTAGGCGGTGAAGATGTCAGGAGATCATGCTCGGTTTTGGGAGAACCGAAAGCCGCTGGCTTACCCGGGAGCATCGGCATCATGAAGTTTTGGATCAAGTTAAGCTACGCATTAAGCTTAAATGTAGTTGAAGTCGACCTATTATTATGTCTATGTCAACTCAATGATGCCTGGAAAGAAGATGAATTATCATTTATAGTAAATTATTGAGATATAGTGATACTCAGCACATTGTTATGTACGAACACATATTATTGCTTTGTTCTACCTTGGCTGGTAACGACAGAAGCACATCAACTTTCTTCCTATGACACCATAACCTCAGTCTCACAATCCAACCGTTCACCAAATTCATGTCATGATGAATAAACTCGCTGACCCAATTGACCCATCTCATTGATAAGGCACCATCATCCTCGGGGATTCATCCCAGTTCTTGACAACCAGTCTAGCTAAAAGTAAGCATACCTATTCACCCTCTTCAAAAGTCCTCGAACCGTTTACAATAGTTCCTCCGCCACTTGCTCGAACCTATCATCAGCCTCCCGGACCTGGCTTCCACCCCGCACCTCCTTGTAGATCTTATCTCTGCCATGCTTGTTTATCGTTGGCGCCGCGACATGGGTTGTGAGCACCTGTCGATGCCAAGACTTCGTAGTGTTGCGACCTGCCATTTTCGCATCGTCTACCGATGGGTTCGATGTGAGCTTTGCTAGACGCTGTTGCATTGGGGGCCTTGAGTTGTAGTTGCCCACCTTAGGTACTGAGCCATTCAATTGGTAGTAGCGACGGGCGTTGTGTAGGTACCTAGCTGTAGCTCCTTACCTAAGGTATATGGATAAAAGCTGTATTGGTATAAAAGGGAAGGATCTATCGGATTGTTTGGGGTTTGTTCTTTTGCTACGATCATTGATCTCAGGATCTGTTCCTGTCAAGTTACATTATCGTCTTCAAGTTACATTATCGTCTTCAAGTTACATTATCGTCTTCGAGAGGCATTGTTAACGACTCCTTCGATAATTATCATCATGAAGTTTCTTAATACTTTGCTCTACGGAGCTCTCCTCTTCTCCGAGGTGTCGGCTACCAAAAAGCTAACCCCCAGTCAAGTTGAGGGTGACATTAAAAAGTCCAAGTATGTCGAACCTTGGTCAATTGGCTGAACACCACTAACAACCACAGTCTTCGCAAGACCCTTGAGGACCTCAACACAATCGCCAAGAAGAACGGCGGCAACCGTGCCTTTGGCTTCCCCGGCTACAAGGCTTCCGTCGACTACATCTCCAAGCAGCTCAAGGGTCAATACGGAAAGCATCTCAACACTTACATCCAGCCCTTCAACTACACCTTCGAGCAGACCAAAGATATCTGGGTCCGAGGACCCGATGGTGAGGACGTCTATGTCGTCACTCTCATCTACAACGTCGGCACACCTACACCCGATGGTGTCACTGCTCCTCTTGTTCTCGTCCCAATTGACGATGAGCGTGGATCTGGGTGCTTCGCGGACCAATGGGAGGGTGTAGATGCCGTGGATAAACTCGCTCTTGTTAAGCGCGGCTCGTGTGCTATCTCGGACAAGCTCAAGCTCGCAAAGCAGGCCGGTGCTCGTGGTGTTCTCCTTGTCAACAACCAGCCTGGCGAGGGCATCACCAGTGCGACTCTCAGCGCTGAGAACCTTGAGCTCATCGTCCCTGTTGGTGTGATTCCTCTTGAAGTTGGAACTGCTTGGAGAACACGTATTGAGGACGGTGAGACGCTCGAGGTCACTTTGCTAGTGGACTCTTTCTATGAGACCCGTGAGACCTGGAACATCATCGCGGAGACTAAGCAGGGTGATCCCAACAACGTTGTCATGATGGGTGCTCATCTTGACAGTGTCCAAGCTGGTCCCGGTATCAATGATGATGGTAGTGGAACTGCCGGTATTCTTGAGATTGCCAAGTCTTTCACCAAGTACACTGGCTACAAGAACAAGGTCCGCTTTGCTTGGTGGGGTGCTGAAGAGTGAGTAACACAGTCCACGTCTCTCTGCCGTTGACTGATTTGTGATACAGGAGTGGCCTTGCTGGATCATACTACTACGGCGAGCAACTCACCGAGGAGGAAGCTGACAGAATCCGATTCTACTTCAACTACGACATGATCGGTTCCCCTAAGCCCAAGTACTGGGTCCAGGCTAGCAAGCCCGCTGACCGAGTTGGAGGAGATATCCTGGCTGCTTGGCTCCGCAAGAAGGGCAAGACCGTCGAGTGGGAGTAAGTCCAGGCGCACACTATTCGCAAGAACATTACTCACAGTTTCATAGGGAGTTTGGTGAATCTTCCGATTACGCCGCCTTCGTCGAACTCGGCATCCCATCCTCTGGAATCTTCACTGGCGCTGATGCTGAGACCGATCCTTGCTATCACTTGGAATGCGACACCATCAACAACATCCACTGGGGTGCTTTGACCCTCAACACCAAGACTGCTGGTCGTGCTGCTGCCCAATTCGCTCTTAGCCTCAAAGGCGTTCCTGCACGAGACAAGACCTCTGCTAACCCCAAGAGCAAGCGAGCTGTTGCGGCGCGTTTTGAGCAGTGGCAGAAGAAGAAGACTCTTGCTAGCAATGCGCATAAGTGCAACCATAAGACTAAGGTTGTTGTCTAAGCATGGCAAGAAAGTGGTGATGGAGAGGGATGACGAGGTTATGATGATCATGAATTAGTGTATAGACTTTATGAATGTGTTTGACTGCGATGCTCCTTATGTTTATTTCAGTGTCGTGGTAAATGAAAATGCTCGCTCGCTCGCTTGCTGACTGTAAATGCCTCCCATATGATGCCTGACTGCAATGCATTACAGCTCTCTTCACCATCCCTCATTTCATTTGTCGTATCCTCCATTCCACATTACTCATAACTCATTCATCCTGTGATCTTCTGTTGACAGACATGACAGTCTATCGCCAATATGTCCTTGGTGAATTATATGTCCTCGGTGGATTCTCTCCCCTTCTCGGGTTAGGAATAGGAATCGCTCTATAAGTCGGAAACTTCGGCCCCCCCGGAATCTGCTCCCTCTGCACAACCGGAGACGGAAACTGAACAGGAACAGGCCTAGCAACAGGGACAGGCACAGGCCTTACCCAGTTCTCATTCGGCATCCTCTCAGACCAACCATCCGAAGAATCCGCATAACTGCTCCGATAACTCCTCCGCTTCTTGGGCTGCTTCGGTCTTCGACAGCAACATACCACAATAAAAGCGAGCACGAATACTCCAACGATACACCCGATTATTGCTCCGATTTGCGCACTGCTTAATCCATCGCCGCTGTGTTGAGACGTCACGACGGGACGGTCCGTGGCTGGAGCCGAAGCTACACCTAGCGTGACTTGGGTGGTGTAAGTGGTCGTGGGGAGGGAAACAGTCTGCGTTATAACCTGCACCTCTTGGCGGGCATTCATGTGGGGAACGCCCATGATGAAGGAAAAAGAGCAAAAGTGAAGTTATTCACAAAGCAGAAAGTGCAAAAAAAGAAAAGAGCAGAATCGGGGGCCATGACACCCTTTTTGAAACATCCGTCCCGTCCCACAAGAGGCAACCATCATGAGCATCTGCTGATACACTTTTGTTTCACTGTACCAACAGCCCTACAGACCAACGACTCTGTTTTTTTTTATCTGCAGCGGAAACTGGTTAGGACGCGGGCTACGATGTAACTGTATCTAGGTCAGTTGGTCGACGGTTGACCAATGGCGCGTGAGGTTTTGGATGAGGGGGTGTGGTGATGCAGGCTGGGCTAGGCTGCCATAGCTGATAAAGATGACCGCAGCGAGACTTTTTGCTTGCCTTTTTGTGTTGGTCTTGTACTTTGGTTCGCATTTTGGGTCCCGGCAGGCAAGATGCTTGTTATGACTGTTCGGACAAGATGTATGTCATTGTGATTTGAGACTAGCTCCAAGAACGATGCACTATTATTTGCCTGCTAAAGCTCTGGCTTCATGCACGTTACTTGTATAAGTAAAGACTTATTCCACTTAGTTCTGATGCGTTTTCAACATGCTGCCGCTTTGATGCAGATATTGACCTCGCAATGCTCTCCGTATTAGTGATCATATCTCTCGGGAATATTACCACCGAAGTACACCCATGATGATGCCCTGGATTATCATTCGAAGACTCTGTCAGATGAGGTGCATCAATCTTGTTTTATAGTAATAACGTCTTGAAGTAAACTGTGTTCTTCTGCCATCACGCCACAGGCTCACCAAGATCTCTCTTCTCGCGCTTCGGCACCTCGTATCAATGTATTTTGAGGAGGGAACAAAGATCAGGGGATCAGATTAGCGAGTTCGATGACTTGTATTTTATGATAGGCTATAGATGACGGACCTGGGCCACAAGGTTGCATTCGACATCTCAGCCGAGCGTCCCGTCCTTGATGTGCATCATTTGAACATAAGCAGAGTCCATCATGGCTTCCTTGACAGAGTGACAATGCGAAAGTCACATGCTCCTCTTCCACGTATCTTATATAGGCTCGTCTCGACAATGTCCACGACCCAGCCAGCGACATGCAGCTCAGGTGGCCACTGCGCTTCCTTCGAGTACATAAATTCTTCCGGTCCAAACTGTGGTTTATAAAGACCTTCTGGGTCATTATCACTAACACATGAAACACCATCATCAGCAGCAGCAAACGCCGCATAATCTGAACCTAAATCTGAATATGACTCATAATTATTGGAACCATCGAAACCAGTCTTGCATCTCTCTACCCGAATCTCGCGGAGATTGGGCATACCGTCGAGAAGCAATTTGTAGACGTCTTGGTTATGCAGCTCACGTTCAGATTCGATCCAGTCCTCTGTCTTCCAGATCCCACCACAGTACAGGTGAAGAGTCTCAATCGATTCCGGCAGAACCTCACTCAGTCGTGACAGAGGCTCAATTTCTCCGATTAAAGCCTCCTTACTGACTCCGAGGTGTCTGAGGGATTTGAGATCTCTGAGGGAACCTATCAGTCCCTCACCTGGGCCGCGATGCCGGGCCCATGTGCTGTAACTCTCAAAAAAGAAGGTGTTGAAGTCGAACTCTTCGAGATTTTGACCATGTTTTCGAAGAACATCACCAAAGTCATCAAAGTTGAGGATACACTCTTCCTCCTCACCATAGCCCATTTCATGGTCAACTATTAACTGCCTTTCCTCGTCGGGTAACCTAATCGAGATACCCTTGAGCTTCGGACAGCGAGTGAGAATGGTCTTTAGTCCTTCAGCATCGATGTATGATTCCATGAGGTCGAAGTACTCCAGGTTGTAGTTCTTGTGCTCAGGCCATATCAAGCCTTCGAGTTCGTTGCCATAACAGGCAGTACCAAATGTTCTAAGTGTTTTGAGCGTAGAATTGAGAAGCAGAGGTTCAATAGTCCAAACATACTTGATGGCCCCTGGATCTTCCACCACCCTAATGCGAATCTCGGTGAGGTTTGCAAAGCGATAGTTTGCGAATGTGCCCTTGGAAATGCCCTTCTGCTGGTATTCTTCCATGCTTAATTCTTTACTGTAGTCTTCCACGTAATCTTCCTCATCAGAAAAGTCATACTCTTCTTGTTTCTTGGCATAGTATTCGTCGTCGGAAAATTCATTCTCTTCCTGCTTCTTGGAGCAATCTTCGTCATCAGACAAGTCAACCTTTCTAGTTCGTTCAAGCCAGCCTATAGGTCTCCCTGCATCCGGGCTTGCACTCAACAGCCAGGGGAGTGTGGTTGGACTGCCATCCGTAGTGCAGTCGACGACCTGCACGTGAGGCATATACGCTAGGATAAGAGCTGCAAAGCCACCAGATGCAATAACTCTCATCATCATACGTTTGAGCGCATGGGGGATGTCCAGCTTCTCCATTCCTGATCGAACGAGTGCCTTAGTTGCATCTATGCCCAATATCTCCACCTGCTGTGAGAACTTGACACAATCGGTCAGAGAGATAGCGCGAACTTGCTCTGCGAGCTGCGGATTCTCGACGAACGTTCTGAGAAGAAGAGTGCCAATGATCTTTGCGCCTTTGCGGCCTTCAATGACAATGGTGCGGTACAGCAGAGGTTGTGCGATACGCCGGAACTGGCGGCAAACCAGGCAGAGGTTGCGGAGTGCGGCTGAGCCTTGATGATCCAGTCGATTTCCATACAACTGCCATTTGTCTAGAGGCATTTGGTCCTCCAGTTCGGCAAATATTTTATGCAGGATTTCATCTGGAAGAGCCTCCATGGCGAGAAATCAAGTTGCGGGAGTAATTCGTTCTGTCTTGTCGTTATCACCAGTGAACGAAAAGAAGACTATTGACGCGTCGTATTCGTCCGTCAAAGCGTGACTTCACACAGTTAGCGCACCATCTTTAACACCTCCCTACCCCTGCACAGCAGTGATACCCTAGAAACATGGACGTGACGGTTGAAGAGAATGACTGAGGATAGATTCTCAAATATATAGTAAAAGCCAGGTAAGGGAGCGCATATAAATGATCTTGTTAAGCCGATAGTCCATAGGCATATGGATGCCGTTGTCAACATGCTATTTTCTATCTCACAAATCCTTGTACAGCGAAGTAAGAGAAGAGAAAGGTTTCATTTTCAAGTAAGAGATTTCACAATACATGATTGAAAGAAGATGGGCCATTTTCTAAGCCATCACTTCAGATTCATCTGGGGCTTCCGAATCAAAGTCTTCAAGCAGTTTGTTCACCCCATCACACTTACACCTGAACAACTCACTCAAGCTATTTTTGACCTTCACCCGAAGAAGACTCTCGATATCCATCTCATCTTTCAACTCATAGCCCAGCATGCAGCATCTCACGATAAGTTGCCAGCAATAATCGAGATAGCTGTCCAATTCCTGTTTACATTGAGGATGCAGAGGTTTCCCAGAGAGCGGTAGACTTCCTCTCGGGGTGTAGTCTGCATATTCCAGAATGCAATTTGGTATCTCGACTGGAAGTCCTTTCTGACATAACATCCATCTGACGTGCGTGGAATCTGATGGATTGATTTGATGGCCGACTGGTGTTTCAAAGTTCAGGAACTCTTCGTAGGATATGAGACCGTATGGGTAGAACGTCAACGTATAGGCATGATGCTCATTGGGAGCCTGAGGCGAGCGCTCAGTAGACTCATCATCAGCCTTGAGGCCAACCCCATCATCAGCCGTATCGTCATCATGAAACCAAAAGCAATAGCCATCCCTTTCCAGCCTCATGAAATGCTTCCAAAGCGGGACATCAAAAGGTTTCGGAAACCAGTTGAACTGGCCCTTTTTTACACCGAAGAAGTCCCAATGGGGGTACATCGCAACGTCGCCAAGATATCCGGTCTTTGTACAAGATCGGATCGCCAGCTGATATGCTTTGATATTGCGGTAGTCGTCGACGGGTACCCCGTCCTTGTCCCAAGATTCAGGGAAGAAATGCAGAAGGTTGAGTATGATGTACATCTTGATGGCGTACTTGCATATTCTATTCCACCCGATATCTGGTGGCAAGCATTGGCATTCGACCTCCTCCCACCAGTCCGGTAGACGAGAGCCTTCATAGGCGCAAGATCGAAGCACTGCATCCATTTCTCCGTGGAGTATCAAAGTCTTGACGACGTTGAGATTGCGGTATGCTTCCTCGTTGTATTTTTCAAATTCATAACAGTAGTTTTCAATCTTGTCTCGTTGAAATGCGGCCATTTTGCGTTCTTTGAAAGACAACGCACATCCGCATGTGTCGGATTCATTTGTGTGTATACATAATCCTTTTAGACAAGGTTGATGAAAGTTTTCGAAATTCTCGCCTTTATTGGGCGAATACTTCTCAAGGTGCCAACGACAAACTGTTGGTGTAATTCTTGCGGCTACTTCATCTGATATAATGACTTCATCCTCATTGGGAACACGATATTTCTGAGGATACTGTTTTCTTTGGCGAATAGATTCATCGCTCACACTCCGCATGAAGGCATCGAGGAAGTTGGCGAGCTTTGTTTTGCTGTCTGGGTGCGCAAGCACGTGCAGGTTGTAGGCGCCATGTTGATAAGTATTGGTGTAATTCAGTTGGAACACTGAAGCAAGGTCTTCCCAGGGGAGTTGGTTTTCGTGGGAAGCCATTTAACTTGAAATTTCCAATCAATGGATGTCATGGGCGACGAGGATAAGAATTTATATTTTAACTTACATTCGTTGTGGAGCATGGGTTGAGTCACTACGCCGAACCAACAGACTGTGCCACAAAGTATTGGAAGGCACAGAAGGGTTAATTTCTTGTTAATTTGGAAGACATGTGATGAGAAATTATTGAGGATGGCCTAGTAACCTAGTTATGGCATTCACTGGTAAACTTGGTTGGCAATTATAGAGTCAAAATCCGCTGCCGAACATGATACCTCCTGCTTGGACGCAGTGGTCTATTCGTTCATGTGACAAGAGCTATGGCAGAACGAAGCATTTCCTGAAGAACGGAAAATAACGTGCCGAATATTCATGACGCAGAGCTCGCGTAGGTCCTGGTAAAGATAGGCTTATTGGCCGACTTGAAGCTCAGGTCGATGCGGATCTTGACAATGCCTGGAATGACGAGAATTATGATGAAAAAGGAGCTGTTTATACCTCTAAGATTCCTGAAATTGCCGTTGAGCCTGCAAAAGCAGTGTCTAGACTTGGAGTGCCCTCTTCTTGAAGGATACGACTTCTAACACGACAATGTGAAACCCAATGCATCAATTTGTTACCGACAACCTAAGTCCTTCCGTATCAAGAGGTCTTAGCAAGACAAAAAAGCGAGGCTGTAATCTCTGAATGGTAACTCTTCCTTACCTTCATGCCGTGCATAAGCCTCTACTAAACCTAACTTTGCCATGGAATATTTCACGATCGTTCTCCTTGTAAGTCTATCTTTTGGATACCAGTGCAGTCTTTACTCGAATATAATCTATCATGGATTCGAGGTTCTATGCCAGAAATATTTCCTTCCAAGACGGACCAGGAGCTAGGCTAAACTCAACAGCCCCTTGGTGAAGCAGACCAAAACCTCGCCTTTCAGCTATTCCGCCGTGCCACTCGAGAATCATGATATTATAATAATTCCATTGACCTGCTGCTAGAGGGTACTGATACTGCCACTGTACCAAAGAGTAGGCCAAAGATTTGTGGTGTGATGCCTCGGAAAGAAGTATGATCTCAAAGGGGGCGCGCGATTCAAAGAATTCCGTTTCTTCAAAGCCATCCAGCCAAACAAAACCGCACTTCTTGTTGTTAGAATCTTGAAGATATCCAGTGGCCCTAAAAACATCAACGCCAGAGATTCTGTAGAACAAAGAAAGGGTCCAGAACTGTAGGATGGGGTAAGATGGCAATCCCCGAGAGAATGACACTTGTTCGGTCGGCATTGTTCGCCTTGTGTCCAGCCGTCGGGGAACATGTCTACCGACAGAGAAAGGGCGTCGGTAACGATATCCCGCATAGCGTAAATCTAACAATGGGAATGATGGGTTTGCATCCGGATCCCAGACAAGACTAGCAATGCCAGAAGAGTTCCGCTTATACCATATGATCCACGTCCTGTCCGTGAGCCAAATGTTGATGTTCTCGGGCCAACTCATACTCTCATTAGAAAGTTGTAAGTCCACATCGACAGAACCGCGCCAGCCTGTCCACGAGTAACTTGGAAATGTAGAGCGCCTGTGGATAGTGGTGCCGCATGCAAGGAATGTGATAAAAAGGTCAAACATGGCTGCTGGAAGGCCCTGGAAGAATTCACACTTCATTCGCTCTGCAATTCGCCTGGTAATGCCAGCCATCGCCCGTGATGCGTCGTTCTGGTTTGTCAAGACCCTTTTGGTATAGTAGAAGAGCATTATCGATAAACTGAACGCCGGGTCATTCATGAGCACGTCACTCGGAAGCAGAGATCTCGATGTCGAGTCAACCAAGGGTTGTGATAGGTCGTCTACAAAGTGCTCGGCATGCTCTGCTGCACGGCAACGAAAGAAGACCTTGTTGTCAATGAAGTAGAGAACTCGGCGAGATAGTACGTGCTCTTTAAAACTGCATCCAATTAGAATTCTTGAGTAATAATAATTGCATAGGAGACTTACGTCCATGCTCTGGAGCCATAGACTGAGCGTTTGAGCAGTCCGTCTAAACCTGCCACAATTCCCATCTGGACGCCGGGCACAATCTCGGATGTGTTGTGAGAACCAACCCTAGTCCCTTCCCGCACACCGGGGAGTCGTGCGTTAGCATCGTGACCACAAGCTGCGACAACTGTCAACCAAGCTCTCTCGTAGACAAGGTCCATAACATTGACGCCTAGCTCCAAATCATTGGTGTCATTTTGAAGCAAGCAAAGCGCGTCAACCCATAGATATCGGCACTTAAGACGCCTTGTCAAAGTGATAGCGTCTTTTATTGTGTTTGGAAGCATATTGAAGACCCTTTCTAGGGATCCGCGCATGAGGAGCGTCGTTCGATTCGCCTTGGTGAGTCGAAAGTTTGCCACAGCTCCCCATACATAGCTCAAAGCGATATACCTCTCAACCCTCGCCATTTCTACGATACACTGGTCCTCGATATCGATGAAGCGGACGACGCGGAGACCAGGGAATGCCTCGGGAAAAGGTAAGTTTGTCGGCATCGCACATATCGAGTGATGGAGTTTTTCGCAAGATGAGATCCAGCGTAACATCCTAGAAGTGTACACCATAGGGCCTGTCCACGGCTCAAGAAAGAATTCCAAGGTGGGATTAGGTTGACCAGACGTCTCCATGCCTGAACTGAAGCAAATAAGGGTATCAGGTCGAGCCTTAACAGTCCAGAAACCCTGACGACCGGCAGGCCCCAATACCCAATAAAGCTTAACCTCAACGGTGGACGAAGAAGCGATGAAGTCTGCGTCCCAGTGAGATACGACAAGGCGGCATAATGGACACGAACTGTTCTTGATACGAATACCAGTCCCGAGGGACCATCCGTGGCTAAGGTTCGCATCCGTGTTCAGTACCCTTAGATCTAGAGGAATCAGCGAGCAATATTCGCATAATGAGACACGCGACAACATATTCGAGATCTGTTTCAAAGACAAGCCGAAAGTTTTATTTATTGCTACATCATCGTATATCAATCTGACCCCAAAGTTGTCGCATTTATGCAGCTCATCATGTGACTAGGCGTTAAAGATCACTGTAATTGCCTAGGTAGGCAGAGCACGCCACATAAAATACAATATTGTTATTTCGTCACAGCCCTGCCACCTTACACTTGCAAGGGTGTCTAAATGCACTTCGAGATTGGGGCTATGTAGCAGATTGTAGGCATGGCATGTATCTACCTAATGTGTATCTCTCTGTCTCGAAAAAATTCTTGTATTAACAGCTGTCCGCCTTCTTCTTCCTTGCAATCCTTTAGTTCCTGATATCTTAACTGGAACAAGCCGATCATAAATGTCCCTTGGGATCAAGCTCATCCAATTATACTCATAGGCAAGCAAGATAATCTTAATTCTTGTTTGTGATCCTTTGTGTAGTCTCTTGTTACCCAGGTCTTCCAACATTTCGTTCAGTTGGTAGATCAAGTTGACTTGGCCAGATCCTTTCGCACCAGAGCCCACAGTCGCAAGGTCAATGATGATATAGATCTGACCTCCCAAGTCTTGCATGATCAACTTGAAGAGTGCAAGCCAGTCTTGACTAGTTTTCGCTTCCTCGAGTTGCGAATGTCGCAATGACATCTGCTTTTCTGTCGTAACTGTTCCCTCGATTTGTAGCGCTTGGTAAGTCAGGTACCTCACTAAGTCGGCAGGACTCAGCATCGCATTGGGGCTCGTCTTGGTTGCGCTACCCAATACCCAAATAGCTGGTATGTTCATCATGGTGACTGCCTGTATGATATCTATAGCAAAATCCTGGATCGCCCAACGGGTCGTGAAACTGCCTCTGATGATAGTGAGGGAAGAATGTGGACAAGAGGACCATTTGGCAAGCTTGGGCGATAACCAGAACTCGTTGGTGGAGATTGCTACTCCTCTGCCCGACGCCCGTCGATTGCGAAGGAATAGGTGGTGTTTATACAAGGACTTGGGATCTTCAAGGCTCTGAGAAAAGGTTGCCAATGCTTGGGATAACTGCAGAGAAGAGAGCTTTTGGTTGGTATCTATCTGTGAACTTGTCTGAATAGAGTGGAAAGCTTGATATAAGTCAGTAAAAAGATCCCGCACTAATATTGGAATGCAACATACTCTCTATCTTTGTCAACAAGTCGTTAATTGTCAACCCAGAAGCCTCAAGCCATTGCATGATCAAGTCGAGCTTCCTGTCATGATCTCGACTCGATATCTCCAATCTTGAGATAGCGCAATTGAGGCCATCTATCTGTGCTTGTCTAGTCTTCTCACTGGTTTGCAAACTTAAGATGATTTCGTTTAGCTTTGATGACTGGGTGTTGTGCATAACTCGAAGCTCAGTTTGTGATCCCACGGTTGCAAGTTCGTTGATGTTGCCCGTGCAAGTTTCAATCCTCTGCAAGAGATCGCTGTAGCGCAACTCGTGTGGCCTTGTGAAGCTGTGGTAAATATGCTTGAACCTTGACTCATTGCACCACGAGTGAGCTATGAGTAGAAACTCCATTATACCAGAGTAGAGGCTTTCGATGGCTAGCTTCATGTTCTTGGTCGGATACAGGGCGGAAAGATGTTCGATGCGCGGAAGACGCTGTGCCACCTCAAAAAGCGACTTTGACAACAATTTGAGCGTCTCGCCATGATTGACCACGCTCTATAATACTGTGGTGAGATGTCAGGATTCGGGATGAAGACTAAGTTAACTTACAATAAACATCAACTTCATTAGTCCCCAGGCTAATGAGACGTATTCAGGATGATGCTGAACAAAGACATCGAGTACTTGGCCATAATGGCATATTGATTCAGAAGCTTTCAATAGCCATTTCCGTGTTTTCGAGGCTTCGCTCTTAGCCTCATACTTCGCGAAAGCATCGCTAACTGCCTTTTCAACATCTTGTAACGATGACTTCTTCCCCAAAAGAGCCTTCTCGTCACTACTTAATGAATTGCTCTGCTCGAAGTGTTTCTTAACCGACTTGAAGGCCTCTTGCGCTATATCCGCTTTATCTGACAGAGTAAGCTTGTATGAAGTGTCTTATTGGCTAGTGATTACTTACTCGCATCATCGCCCTTGTACCATGACTGAAAGACTTGGTCAACGGACATGGCGGTAGAGGATATTGAGATAAATTCCGATAGCGAATATCCTTTTTTGGAAGATATTTGAAATCGAGTCTCAGAGGCCAACGGCAGAGGTAGAGAGGAGGCGCTGGAGGCTGAGCAATCATGAGGCATAATCAAGATGACACACCCTGCAGCTTCATGCATGCACCCTTGTCAGGCACTTTTGCGGCTGAGTCTAAACTCCTCAGCCTGATACATTCTCACCTCAACACCTCCTCATTTCATCTCATAATCACTATATCTCAAAATACCTAACAAATCATGGACTCACCAACAAGAAGCGTATCGCCCCTCCCCAAGAACAAGAAGGACAAAGACAAGGATAAGGATAAGGACAAGGATGATAGTGAGGAAGAAGACATCCACCAGCAGCTCAGTCGACTTCTGAGAAGGGAGGGGGCATTGTTTGCGAGACCCTCAATGTTGGCGCTTCCTCGGAGACCTCGCCCTGCGCCTTCAAATACTAGGATAAAGTATCCTCAAAAGGCTCCGAAAGGAAGAATTCCACCACCTCCTCCTCCCATGGTCCTCCCCAGGTCTCCCCGCAATCAAGTGCAGGTGATGCCACCTCCTCCGCCTCCTCCAGTTGCTCCTCCGAGTGAATGGGGGGTCAATCCTAATGCTCCACCTATACCGCCTCCCCCGGGCTACCCACAGATAGCTCAGCCTCAACCATCACCTATACCACCCGTTGTCAAGCCCGCTCAGACACATTACACCATCTCTGAAGACTCTATAGGAGCTAGTAACAGAGACAAGTTTGCAGCTATAGACAATGGGCCAATCATAACAAATGGTGTCAATGGCCTCAACAACTACGTACCACCACCACCACCACCCCAACCCCTAGGTCCTGTGCCTGTCCCAGTCCGCTACGCAGCAACTCGAAGCTATCGTATCCCAACATTCACCAAAACCAATAAAGAGCAAGCAGAAGCACATGCAAAGCTTTCAGAGCCAAATGTCATGCCTGTAGGCGCCGTTGAGCTTCAGCATGGAAGCGGGCCATCTAACGTGGGAAAGACAAATGAGTCTCTCGGGCTTTCTCAGATACAGGAGGAAGGATCTCATGACTTTGCCGAAGTTACTGGAGAGGATATTTCTTCCCACCAGATTCTTGTCGATGAGAACACATTGCAGGCATTAATTCAACGTGTTGAGGAGTTGGAAGAAGAAAACACCACCCTTCGTGAAGATGCGGACAACGCTTCAACTGTTACCACGGAATCGCCTGCTAAAGTTCAGCTCTTCTATTGTCTGGAAAGAATTGAGCTCGATGACGACAGCGTCGACGAAAGAAGCCGGACAGTCTATCTTTCTCCTCCTGAGTGGGTAGTTTATGGCGACGATGTCGACCTCAGGGGTCGATTCCCCATTACAGACCCTGGTGACTACGCTGAAGAACAAGGCGCATCACTCATCGTCTACAAATATTACTCTGTGGACTACCAATACGACGCAGTAAATGCTGCTAAGAGAGCAAAGCAACCCCTTCCTGAACCAGAGCCAGCCAGCCAGGATGTTGTTCTGGTGACGGAAGAGATGGTTGAGGCAGTCGAGGCCTTATTCGAGCTCTTCCCTTCAATGAGCGACGACTTTCCGTATGTGTACGAGATGAGCAGCTTGCAAGACCCCCATCTCTGGTGGTATCACTGCCGAACGAGCTTCAAGATGGAGGCACTATCACAGAGACACGGCCAGTTGGTTGGACTTCTCGTTGAATGGATAGAGAGTAACTTTGCACCACTTTATGACCAAATCGACGACCAGTTCAAGAGAGGAAAGGTCTCGAGCGATTCCATTGAGTTTTTGATACGTCCAGGAGATACCCTCGTCGCAAACAAGAATGGCAGATACAGTGGACGCGTTGCTACCACTCGACCAGCTCCTCACAAACAGAAGAAGAAATCAGAAGACTCAGACAAGGACCAAGAGAAGCAGGGCATACATACTTGGATTGTGGAAACGCGGTCTTACGGATATGCAGGAAAGTTCTTTGCTGTTGACAAGGAGCTGTTAATTGACTTTCCACCCAAGTATAGAGGTGGGGAGATCAACATCACGGATCTCAATGTTATACCGTTGTCATATGCAAAGCCAAAGGTAAAAGAGATATTGAGACAACGAGGCAAGAGGTTCTGGAAGTTGCGTGAGAAGACGCTCATCTCATATGAAGGCAGTGATTCCGATAGGATACAAGCGGTAAGGAAGCTTCACTCGAGCTGGCACATTGTACTGAAACACAGCAGGGACAACGGTTTATGGTGGACTTTGATACCTACAAAGAACTCCATCCAGGAAGCAGCTACATGAGACAAGAAGGCTATATATCAGGTCGAAAGCCTAACTTGCCAAAGGATGGAAGCGAGCCTGAGGAGCCAGAGATCTACCTGTTCCCTAAACTGATCCCGGGTTTTGACTTGCGGCGTAAGAAATGGAGTAAGCAAATTTCTTGGAATGATGAGCTGAGAACGAGATACTTATGGAAATGCAGTTGACCTCGAGGTCGATCGAATTCGAGACGTCAGTTGGAACAAGGAGGCTTTCAAAAGCCTGGTCGCTGACGAAGCTATGAAGGAGCTTGTCCTGGCTCTAGTGACCAACCAACTCGATGCCGAGAAAAACACAGATCTTATCGAAAGCAAAGGCAGCGGTCTCATCATGCTCCTGCACGGGTCACCAGGAACAGGTAAGACATTCACAGCTGAGTCTGTGGCTGAAATCGCCAAGAAGCCTCTATATCCAGTTACGTGCGGAGATATTGGCACTGAGCCTGCAGACGTAGAGAAGTATCTCGAATCTGTTTTCCATCTAGGCAAGGTTTGGGACTGTGTTGTTCTTCTTGATGAAGCAGAAGTCTTTCTCGAACAGCGCACTTTGCAAGACTTGAAGAGGAATGCGTTAGTGTCTGTATTCCTTCGAGCTTTGGAGTACTATGAGGGTATTCTTATTTTGACGACGAATCGCGTGGGGACATTTGACGAGGCCTTCAAATCACGTATCCAGCTGGCTTTGCGGTATGAGAAGTTGAAGGATTACCAGCGATTACAAATCTGGAAGAACTTCCTGGTTAGGTTGAAGAGCCTTGGTGAGGAAGAAAGTATAGACTTTGATGATATTGAGTTATATCTGGAAGAGCTGGCGAAGTATCCTATGAACGGACGGCAAATTCGTAATTCTATTACAACAGGGAGGCAGTTGGCTAAGTACAAAAGGAAGAAGATGACGTTTGCGCATCTGAAGAGGGCGATTGACGTCGCAGATAAGTTTGATAGGTATTTGGCTGATGTTCAGGAGGGAGATATGGAGGAGTTTAGTGGCAGGGGAGAGAGTGGACGATATACGCCCGAGTATCTTGCGAGAGCTGATCAAATACGATGATCACATAGGGAGACACGTTGGTATAGATAGGGCATCTGAAATGTTTGGGTTGACATTATGATTGATGATAACTACAAGTATATACAAGACAACAGGGGACAATGCCCGTTGGAAACATGAGAAACGATCTCAACCTCTAAAAGCCCCATCCTACTTGCTAAGGCCGTCGGATTCTGGTGGTCCCTTATACACATGTCTAGCATGCACAACATACCAAACCGCCGACATCGCCATAAAGCCAAAGAACACAACGACGGCGTAGTTCATCGTGACAGCATTGACAGGGATAGCAACAGGCATACAGAACAAAATCATCTCAAAGCAGATCCAGGCGAGAGCCAAGAGGTTGATGACCCAACCAATCTGCTTGCCGAAAGTCCAGGGCGCCGTGTTGACTCCAGCTCGATTAGTGAGCATGGACAGTAAAATTGGAATGCCATACGAGCTAGCGAGACCAATGACACCGACGGCGATAAAAGCGTTGAAGGCAGAGCTTGAGCCGAGGTAGATGAGACCCAGAAGCATCTCGATGATAGTCGTAAGGAGGAGAGCCATGATGGGCGTTCCGTGTCGCTCGCTGACTTTTGACCAGATTCGAGAGAGGGGAATAGCTTCGTCGCGTGCGAAAGCCCAGGTTGTTCGTGAGGCGGCGACTGTGATGGAGATGGAGCAGAACAGGGTGATGATGAGGACCAGTGCGGTAAGGGCGATTCCGCCGGCCTGGTTGCCCATTACTTGATAGAAGATCATGGGGAGGACCTGGCCTAGTGGTGCGGCAAGGAGTTCTTCTAGAGGGGGTAGGGTTGCGCAGATGGGGATGATCTAGTCCTTGTCAGAGGATTAATGTGCAAGGGAGATCAGGTGTGACTTACGAAGAACAAGCCTGCGATGCCGCCGACGGGGACGCAGAGGGCGAGAGCTCTTGGGAGCTTGACTGTAACGTCACCACATTCTTCAGCCATGGAAGTGATCATGCCGATAGCGGAGAACGTATACGCTGATGGCAAAGCACCGATCCAGAAGCCAAAGTTTCCCCAGCCTGATAGATTGGGATCAAAGTTGCCCTGGTTTGGTTAGTTAACAAGCGATTGATCGGAGACTTCCGTACTCACAAGTGTGTAGCTTGCCGAATGCCTGCCCTTATCTGCCTTGGTCGACAGACAAACACAAACGATGAAGATGGTAATAGCCGTGAAAGCAGCACAGAACGTATCCACGGTAGGAAGGAATTTGTTGCCAAATGCGACGATGAAGAAGGTAAACACACAAAGTCCGTAGAAGATCAACACGAGCTTCCATGGCTGCCAGTCGTAGTCGGGCAAGAAGATGCTAATACCTCCAGCAAGAAGCGAGGCGAAACCAAAGTTGACGGATAACGTGATGGTCCAGTTTCCAACAAGCCATGTCCAGCCGGTGATGAAGGACAGGACAGTTCTGTACTTTGGCGACGCGATCTGGAAAGACCAGTAGTAGGGACCAGCGGATGTAGGCCATCGCGCAGCGAGTTCGCCTAGTGAGATGGCGATGCACTCGTCGAGAATGCAGACGATGATCCAGCCGAGAAACATGGTTAGTTGACCACCGCCGTAGACGGAGTTGATGAGCGGTGCACCGAAGCCATAGGGGATCTATCATCAATTAGCTACTGTATGTAAGTGATGGATCTGGGGGAGACTTACAGCAGCAATGGCTAATGATTGGAAAAGAAGGGTAAACATTGATCGGTTACGCTTGAGTTCGGGCTTGTATCCAAGCGCCGTCAGGTCCGCGGCATCGCCAGCGTCGCCAACGGCGTGATCATAGTTCTTTGCCTGCTCATGATCACTCCCCTTTTCTGATACACCTTTCTCCGCGTTATTCATATCGACGGTAACAATAAATAACAATTAGGTATGATGAAGCAGGGGGAATTGAAGTTGACGTTGACATAAAACGTGCGGCGGCAGCATTGTATTATAAACTACCTTAGACACACACACACACACCCTTATCAATAAATTAAACCTTCTGTGACGCCTACTACACGGTGATATCACGAGCATCCCCCCCTTCCCCAGATTCTACTTGTAGCCGGGACATTTTTGCCTAGAATGTGTTAGTGTGGTGTAGCTATCACGGGCGCTGCTCTACCCCGCGCGCAGACCAATCCGCTGGGTTTCTGCACGGTAACTCAACCCTGATAAGGAATGGTCCGTGTCGGTGACAAGATAAGAGATCCCAGTATTAACCCTGCGAGGAGTGTTTGTGTCTCTGATGGTGGGCGCAGCTGAGCGGAATGCGGCCGCCAAGACGGGAAGTTCGATTGACCATCACAGGGATCTTGGAGAGATAGTCTATGATGTGCCGGTGGTTGGCTCTGTGACTTCTGACATTAAGCTGAGGTGTTAAAAATACTTAGTCTAAGATCCTCTATACATATGCTAAACTACACTAAGTTTACCTAAATTTACCTAAAGCTTTTTGTCACCTAGGTTAGAGGTCCTGAGTTTTATTGCATCCCCTTGTGAACCTACCGCCTGAGTCTGAGGCTAAGAGTAGGGAAGAGACTGCTTGGAATTGGGTATCGAACTAAGCAATTAAACATAGAGCTACGTTTGGCCTCAAATCTAACCAAATACAGTCTCGTACTTTAAATCATCCATCACATCAAGCCAATGAACAGACCCCGGTACTGTTTCACAATCATAATGCGACCACACAGCCTGCAGTAACTCCCGCAGCACAACAATAGGACCAGCAGCTGGACCATTACCAAACCCTTTGAGTCTCTCGACGATAAACTCACGCGCCAAGTTGACGTCTGCAAAATGTTTCCGGTTAGAGTCTTCATCACTCAGTAAGCACTCCTCGGGGGTGGCGTCTAGGAGCTCTAATTGCGGTGGCTTTTCCTCAGCGCAGACCGTCTTACACCGCAATCCTGAGCCGACTCCGAGACACAGCAGGGGTTGCAGACATCGGATCGACGAGGCAGGGATGTTGGACAAGAGGCCTGTGATGTGAAGGGCGAGTGACGTGGGCCATGTAACTTGTGTTACACTCCCGTTGATCCTCTCGGGAAGTCTTCTCGACACAAGATCTGGAAATGTTTGGTAAAGCTGTAATAATGAGCAGAGTCGAAAGACCTCTGCTGCGTGGTGTAAATCGAGATTGATCTGGCCCTTGTTCGTGTACGCATCTGCCGCGTCGCTGATGAGCTTCGGCACTTGCACAGACAAGAGCGTCTCTTCGAGGATTTGCGCTTCATTAATGTCGATCATTGTCTGCCACATCACCTCATACGTCGGCGCAGTGCAGTTCCGCCAAGTATCTCGCGATCTGCGACACAGCGACATTGACTTTCCAAACAAAGCAATTATTTTTGGTGGAACACCAGTCCAGGGATGAAGAACAAAGTCATACGGTGGATATGTCGCTGGCGTCCATTCTGTGAGCGTGCTGATGTCGTCTTTGGTGCTTGTTACGATGCTGCGGACGGATTCTTCGTAGATAAGGCATTCTTTGAAGAAGCCAACCAGACTTTGGTCTTGTTTTGAGAGGTGCTCGGATCGCATTTCGAGGAGAGCTAGTATTACGCGCACGTGTCGTAGATATTGCAGACCAAGTTGTTTGTGATCCATCCAGCAAAGCGATGAGCTCAGACAGAACAGTGATATGACAAGTGCGTGAGGTATTGTGGTGACACTATTCGGCGATGCGAAAAGATCTTTGAGCTCTTGGATTATAGCCTCGGTCGCTATCCGCGGGGCTGATGCAGCGATTTCTTGGATCTGAGGTTGTCGGCGCGTGAGAGAAGCAGCTGCCATGCTCTGAAGCGAGTAGAACAATGGTCTTGACGAGCCCCAAAGGGAGGATCCTAACCGCCGGAAGGGATTGGTTGGAGAGTCGTATGCTGCCCATGAGCCGCAGACAGATTTGAACCATAGCTCGATTAGGAATGTTGATGGTTCAGAGATGGTTGTTGGAGTATGCATTGCTTTGTAGCATGATGAGCGCCGTCTGTAGAGAGCGACGGCTTGGTCCTCGGTCTCTTCGGGGGCCTTCGGCGTTGGGTCTTGGGGGAGTAGTATGAGGGGCATCTTGTTTGAAGACGTCGTATTGTCCGCGACGTTAGGCGATGTCAATGCTGAACGGCGTCGAGAAATATTGCATGGCTGGCCACAACTCGTAGCTGCACTGGCTGTACTCTTAATGTCCTCGACTTCTTGACATACAATGCTTGGATCGACAGGCAAAACTGCAGAACTCGATGACACCGTAGCAGGACTTGAAGCTTGTTGCGAAGTGGTAGACGATCGTCTGCTTTGAGGTGGAGATACCGTCACATCAGAACCACGACGTTGAACCGACTCAGACGCAGCAAAGACGAGTTGGTTGAAACCAGGTGGATCACTCGTCTTGTCCTTTCGCCGCTCATATTTGGTGGACCACTTGAGAGTTTGCTGATACCCCGGACAACTAATCTTCCTGGCAATACAATTATTACAGCTAGGCTTGCTCTCGTCACACTTGAGCTACAACACATCACAGCGTTAGTGAGAAATAGGGTAAGCTGCTCCGGATATTCTTACCCTTTTGCTCTTGCAGGCCCTGCAGCCAGAGCGGGACTTTGCTTGACCTTTCATAATTGCCATTACATGAGGGAAAAAGCTAAGATGAGAAGAGCTCCACGAACGTAAAAGAGCTGTTGACCAGCTGCTCTTGGCGTGTATCCACCCCCGGATTTCATGTCCTGGCATGTCCCGAGGAACCAATAGGAGGGGAACCGTTGGCGATGGAGATCGGCGTAGCTCGTGAGAATGAAGCTATACCCAAACAAGATAAAAAGTCCCTGCTGCTATCTACGGGACGGGCGGGGTTGTCTATCTCGCTGATAGGAATGCCGTGATCATGAGGACACTAAGATAGGGCCTTGATAACTGATTGTTGCGCCCAAAGTTGTTTATGGCGTGTCGAGATACCATGAATAGTAAAGTTACCCTCTCCTTTCATGATAGTGACCA